TCATGAGTGAGAAAGTCTTTAAAAAAAAAAAAAAAAAAAAAAAACACCACCACCACTGCAAACCCAGAACATGTAACACAGTTTGGTGTTCTCCAGCTTTAGTGAGAGAGCAATAAGCTTTGACTGTTCATAATTTTCTCGATCTCTGCTTAGCAAAAGTTCTTGCAAACACTTGAGGAAAGTAGCGGGGGGGGTTTGTTGTTGTTGATTTTTTTTGTTTTGTTTTAATCCTGACAAGTTTGGAAAAATTGTAAGTAAATTAAAGGGGGGGGAAAAAAAGGAACAGAATGAAGACTGGAAGGATTAGATCTAGTAATCTAGCTATAATTAAGAACTTGGGACTTCTACTTCCAAAATACCATCAACTGCAATTAAAAACTAAATAACAACAATGGAGGAAACAGTAACTGCCACGTTTCTTTGAAGTCATGAATCTTCAGTCCTAATCTCACTATGCAAATTGAAATTTGCATTCTGCTTACCCTTCTTCCTCAAAGAAAGCGTCCTTTCTTTTAGAAGAAAAAAATTTGTTCATAGGGAGCACTGCAGAGTAAGGTGTTTTAAACCATTTAGACTTATTCCTCTGATTATGTTTAAATATAGGCAGTCACCCTTCAACAAAGATTCTAACAATCTATAATCTGGAGAAATTGTCTGCACCTACAAAAGTAGGTGACAAAAAGAAAGAAGTTTGCACTGCAGTCTAAGTAGGTAGTCGAAAAATAGGGAGGGAAAGATGGAAACTGCAAACTTTGTTTTTTTTAGTTAATGATATCAACTGCATTTTAATATTCTTGTTTGTCTTTCAGCAGCAAGCAATCCACAGTACTGCGAGGGGTCATCCTTCAGTGAAGTTCCTAATGGACAATGGATGGCACAGTCCTTTGCAGACCAGATTCCAGAATTCAATACTGGAATGACACAAGAACAAGAAGGAAGCAGTGCATAAGAGCTGTTTCTTCTCAGCTATGCATACATGCTGCAGTTTTAATGCAGTGATCAGGATAGGTACCGTGGTTCTCCCAACTGAAGCGTTTTTAATAGTATTTTACCTCCCCTAGCTTATTTTATTATAGTCAAAACTAATTGTGTGTGGTAGGCTCAAATCAATGAACTAGATAATTTTAAGGAACGGTCCAATCTTTTTAAAAAACAGAAGTTGGCCCTTTTTTGTATATGAGTTTTATATTTAATGTATATCCTTTCTTGCAGTTTTTGACAAATTGCTGTCTCATTTATGAAGATTTCTTTGGGGCGTTAATTTTATTCTGTCACTTGTAATGTAGTAGCAACAGCGGTGGTATACTTTTTACTGATGCCTCGTCTATTTGGATAGCTCATAATCCTTTTATATCCAGAGAGCAGAGAAAGGGAAGTATACCTTGATCTTACACAAAGTGAGTTTTTAATCATGCAGAGTTAAACAAATTGTATATTTAAGTCTGCCTGTTACCTTCTTAAAAAGTGCAGAAGGTTGTGTTCTGCAGCTGGGAGTGCTGAATGTTTTCTGGGCAGGAAAAGAGCTGTCTTTTTAGTGTACCATATTCAGGACTAAAGACATCATTGTCTCAAGTCACAACGTTGAGGAGGAAAATTTAGGACCTAAATATTCTAGCTGAGCTGACTCAAAGGTCAGGTCTCCCTACCGTTCCATCTCTTCCCCCTTTAATTCCAACGTAAGGAAGTGGAATTCTTTAAAAAACAAAAACAAAAAAAACCAGTGGTTCTTGAATTCTGTGGCATTTAAACTCTCAGCCTTTTCGATGTGATGAGTCTCTTCACCTGAGCTATTGCTAGCAACACCGTTAGCAGGAGACAACCCTTTGAACAGATTATACTGCAGGGCCTTGAAAGACCAAATTCTCTGTAAAATCCATGTACAGTTACGTGGTTTACATCTCCAGTGTAAATCAAGCAAAAAAATTGTACATCTTACAACTAGCACAGGCTGAAAGATGATTGCAATTTGGCAATTCTTAATGTTCATTTCTCTTCAATCTGGAAGACTTCAGAGGGTGTTCTCCTTACTCTTACAAGAAAAAAAAGTATTAAGTTACAGATAAGAGCAGCTGTTCCATGAAAAAGTAGGCAACTGTGGAAACTACAGCTTTCTTTTTGAGGAACGTCCTTAAAATATACACCCTTTGATGTGGCCAATGTGTGACTGAGAAAGAAATGAGGTTCCACACTTGGGCCTAATCATCATCATCATCATCCTGCCCTCTTTTAAATACGAGGAAGAGATGAAGTAAAAGCAATAAGCTGATCAAAACTTTAAAGTTTTGATGAACTTATGAGAGTAGGTGCTTCACATACTTGAAAAATAGATACAAACGGTATCTCCACAATCTATGCTGGTCAGAGATTCCTGTACCAGTGTTCTTATCCTTTCCTCACAGTCATTGACAGTTGAAACACATCGAGTTTAACTAGTTAGTGTAGATTCTAATCCTGCTGCAGCAACTGTCAGTGAGATCACACACTGTCAACCTGTTGTGAGGCAGGTATGATGTTTACAGTTTTCTTCCCAAATTATGTGGCTTAATTCTGAGCGTCTTAAATCAAGGAAGTGTGCATTATGAGTCTGATCGTGTTTATTAGCTTCAGCATAAAGCTGTTCAGTATCTTGTCAAAAAGGTATAGGATTTGTCTTGTCTGCTATTTAAAGTGTACTGTATCATGTATCACTGTTTACATGGACATTTTCCTGCAGGTGCTCAAAGTATCTTGTATCAGGGATTTGTTACAACTCAATTTTATTTTTCAACAAAATTAGAAGCATGTAATTAGCATTGTAGAGTAGGTAACAGTAGTATATAACTACTGTAAGGCTCTTTTTTTTTGATTTTGAAGGGGAAGGTCTCTTTAACAGAGAAACCTACTAGGCTATCTAAGTATAAAATATAATTAAGTGTACAATGACAGTTTCACTAAATATTTCATTTCTATGTCTACTGCCTCAGAACTGGTGCTATTTTCATTAGAGTAATGGAGAGGTTCTTAATCTATCTTAAATCTACAAATGTTTGACAATAAAATCAGGAACGGTATTGCAGTGTCTGAGAATGTAATTTTGCATCTTGTTAGCAGTGCTCTAGGTATGTAACAGGGTATGTAATGCACTGTCGGCACCAGTACAGCGTTCAGAAAGACACTACACTGGAAAACAGTCACCATGCAAGAGAACTCCACTTATTAGAAATGCTGCGTAAGTTTTAATTTCAGGCTGCTTAATGTGGGCTAGAAGACTAAATACACCTTGTATATAATACTGCAAGTATTTCCTGGGTAGATTTTTCTAGCAGCAGATTAGTCTTATTTATAAAGATCTTACATTAAAACACATTGTCTGTCACTGAATTTCACCTCTGAAAATGTTTAATGAAAATACTTCATTGTCAAGTAAATGTGTTTCTTCACCTTACTTGAAAGTCAAGATAATCTGAATTGCATAGCTATCACTGCACCTCCTCTCTGCCCATAAGCACATATAACTGATGGTCAGCTTATAGCACTATTTAACAAATACTTTGTTTTCTAAAATCAGTTAATTACACAATTTGACAGGTTGTATCTCTGATTACTGCATACTGCAAAATACAGTGTATGACTGCATCAAACTTTTCAGTATCAGCTTTCAGGACGAGTTAATTTGAACTTCCCTGAGGGGTCAGGAATAAACCAGTTTTCCCAGAGATCAGTGTGGACACTGGGATAGTCCCAAGGTTTATATCTTCCATTCCAGTGAAGTAATTTAGCTTCTTGAAGAAAATGTTCTGAATAGCGAGTGTCAGGACTCCAACCTGCATGGACACATAAAAATCTAGTTGTCAATAACGGAAGATACTATGCAGTGATGTTCTTCCCTCTCACCCCCCCCCCCCCTCCAGAGACTGTGAATTTAAGTCTAAGTCTAATTAGTATGGTTTATTATTAGTATAGACAATAAGTTGTATGGTAATAAATAGAGTAGCTTTTTTGAACTCCATGTCTGTACAGTTCTAAATGAGAGGGGGGAAAAAAAAGTCAAGTTGTTAAAACATTTCAGCACAGCTGGGGCTTAAAAAAAACCTAATATTTATTTTGCTAAAACTACTAAGCCATTATCCCTTTTTCCAGGTAAATACTAACTATATTTCCTGAATAAAAACCCACTTCTCCCAGGGATCCCATATTCTTTCACTCTGTCTACTGAAAAAGTGTTTGATTGTCAGTCTCTTTGCCTATATTCAGACCTTACATATATTCTTTCCCCGGTTTATGATAATATAGGTTAGTTGGTCTTTAATCATGAAACTTTCTCCTAAATGGTTTTTTTTTTCCTTTTTTAAATCCAATTAAATAACTGTTAAAAGTTTTCTTGCAGGAGTGCAACCATTTAGTTTACTTAACCTCTTAAGGTGTTTGCATAACAATACCCATAGGCTGCGCACGCGTTCTGCACTATCCTGAGGAAGACAGGACTACTGCTGCGTATCAGAAGAAAAGAAATAAGCATAGATTACATACTACGGCTCTGAGGTATAAAGTAATTCATTGAGCTGAAGTTCTGTATTGGAACCTTAACACCTCTCACTTTAGCTCCGACGGCAAATGTTGGAAAGTTAAACTTACCAAGATGCCTTATGTGCCACATGGGATTAATAGTAGAATACTTTCCATAAAATACAATCAGCATTGGAGAGGTGGCCACACCTCCCCCAAGGGTGCTGCTGTACAGATTCTCCCTGGGAAGAAAGGGAAAAAGAGAAGGCAAGAAATGTTCAAAACCTCAGTCAAAGAAAAGTATCTTTAGTATAAAATCAGATGATTAAAAATATAAATATTCTGGAAAAATTCAAAATGAACAGACTATTTTTCAGTATATTCCTTTCTAATGCTGTTAAGTGCTTATATTTGCAACGCCAATTCCCATCGAGGGAATCGTTGGTATCAAACACAAATTGAGAGTCAGAGCCAATGTGAGGCCAATTTCTGGCACACAATACCTATAGTCTAAAAAGCTAACAGTTTACAGTAGAAAAAAGCAGCTAATGTAAAGGAATCGCTATAAACCTGTTTTTTAACCTCTCTCAACTTTTTTTTTTAAAGGGGATTTATATAGTTGCCACTCTTTCATTTCCTCTGTCTTTCTTCCCCAACCCCCTCCTCCTCCCCTCCAACTTTTAAACATATAGATCTTCTTCAAGTCTGGCAAAGGGGCCTAAGCATATAAACTAACATCTAAAGCATATTGATTTCCTATAAGTTTTGTGAAAAATTCATGGTCAGATAAAGCTAAATTACTGCAAGGAGAGGTTTTAAGGGAGAGCAGCCAGCTGTCCAGCCACAACGTGCTTAAAGCCTGGACAGTCAGCACATGGGAGAAGCTGCACTAGCTACAGCGCATCCTGCCACGTGCCTAGCCCAACAAGGAGGAAACCTGGGAAGAATCTGAGACGTGCTTAGAGGATGCAGAATAAAGCGATAACCTCCTCCCAAAACATCCAGGTTTCAACTCGTCGTTAAGCAACTTGCTTCACTGTAGTTTGAAAAGCCAGCTAAAAAGAATATATAAAATAAATCATCTTTGTAGATACAATTTGCAGTAGTGCTCATGGTTGTTTTTCAAAACATAAAAAAGCGTAACAGGATATGCCATATAAGAGTGAGAGAGAGACGTCTGTCTTTTCATTCATATGGAGGTCTTTTTGTGTCTTCCTCCCTTTGTTCATTTGTGAAAATAACAAGAAATGGATGTAATCCAAAAATACAAGCTGTTCAGTTTCAATTCAGCGTTACTAAACTTAAGCTTAATCCTGTGCAGAGAAAGAAAGTAAATGTCAAGTTTTAAATATGGGTTGACAGTGAACTGACATCAAAAATGAACAGTGATTGTTTCACTGTTTTCATGACCTATTCGTGGTCAATGCCAAAAACGCATCTTTTATGTCAATTCCGGTCCATCTATGGAGAAAGAAGTGCTTTCTGTTGGTATTTAAGAAGCGTAATGTCTATTTATAGTTCGGTTGGCATTACAATAGGAGGGACCCCACACAAACATGGAAACATCCCTTCCTCT